TACTACTACTACTACTACTACTACTACTACTACTACTACTACTACTAACTACTACTACCAACTACTACTACTACTACTACTACTACTACTAACTACTAACTACTAACTACTAACTACTAACTACTAACTACTAACTACTAACTACTAACTACTAACTACTAACTAACTAACTAACTAACTAACCTACTAACTAACCTACTAACTACTACTACTAACTACTAACTACTCACTACTAACTACTAACTACTAACAACTAACAACTAACTACTAACTACTAACTACTTACTACTAACTACTAACTACTAACTACTAACTACTACTGCTACTGCTACTACTACTACTACTCCTACTACTGCTACTGCTACTGCTACTACTACTTTGTGAACCAGTGATAAGAAGGCAGGTCAATGAATACTCGCAATACCCACCAGGAGATGGGTGTCGAGGTGGACTTCAGCGATTTGCTGGTGCGGGGACGTGGTGCGTTGCCCGCCATGTTTGAAAACTGCCTCCAGTTTTCAGAACCACTATGTGAAGCAATGTTTGAAAGTTGTTTTGCCCGAGAAAGTGCGTGCATCAAGGATGCTTTGATGTTGCTCAGGCTGAGAAGAGGTAGCCATCCACGGCTAAGCCATTTGCAGCGAGCACGTTTGGACCGGGCTTTTGTGGAACAACTGGACAGGCCGGAATTTTCGAAAAGGACCCCGTCCTTTTGTTGGCCACATTGGGCTTGACAGGTTTGCTAATAGAGATTCCAAAATTGACAGAGACAATGCCCAATACATTTCTAGCATAGAGTCTTAGTAGATTTATGTATATATGAGCCACGGTCAAAACATGCGAAGACCAGTTTAGTAAAGAGGGGTAGGTTTGTGCACAAACCCTGCAAAACGAGAAGATCCAACTCAAAACCGATGACGTCCATTTTTAGTTGAAGAAGAATAAGGAGTTTTGACCGTCCCACATATATATATATATATGTGTATATATATATATTTGTTTTCTATCTCTATTGGAGTCATATGGGAATGGATATGAAGAGCTCAAGAGATCCACAAAGTGGTGCTGTGCTAGGATCGCCCGTGAGCGAAGCCTGCCTCTGGAAGACCTAACGCAAGACCTTCAGATTTTCCGACTGAAGCTGCATGATCGGCAGGCGCGCAGAAGGCCGGGAACCTTTGGGATAAGGGTTTTCCGAAAGAAGATGAACAGGATGATTGCAATGTGAAGAACGGGTTCAGACAATGAAGTGACGCCGGTGCTCAAGTCCGCCAGGCTGCACGACATCTTTGGCGCCAAGCGGCGGCGCGCGCCGCCCCCGGAGTTCGCCCAGGTGGTGCCTGTGGAGGACGTCCCGGTGCCCAAGGTCAAGGACCCGCCTCAGCTGCGACGCGAAGAGAAGAAACACGTGGCAGACACGCGAAGCTGCGCGGAGCGAGCGTGACGGAGGACACCGTGGAGGACATGTGACGTGTGAAGATGCGACGTGTTGTGTAGCTTCTTGCTCCTAGTAGTAAGGCACTTGTTTCTAATAGCTTCTTGTTACTACTAGCGATGCACTTGTTCCTAGTTGAAGACTCGCAGATGCCACGTGTTGTGCGGTTGAGTGTTGTGAAGATGTGAGAAGTGGTGATCAGACTCGCCGTGATCTCGCCGTACGGTCGATGTACATTATATTAAAAACTATACTTTGTTTTTTTGAGGGACGCCTTCTCTGGGTGCAGGGATTGTTAATAGAATGTTGTAGATTAGACCAGGTTCCGATGCTGTGGCTGTGGGAGTCGTCCGTGTGAGGAGCCGCCGCCACCTGCGTCCTTCACGGACGACTACATCCCCCGGACGCCCAAGGCGGTAGTTTCAGCTGAAGTGCCACAGATTGTCAAGGAGGAGCCGTTGCTTGAAGCTGTGACAGGCTCAAAGTTGACTCACCCACAAACCAAGCAATCAGATTGCCAGCCGTGCCAGAAGGCCACCAGAACATGCCAGAACTCCTCACTGTCCAGAGGAAGATGGGTTCTGTCACCGGTCACCCTAACTCACTCAGAGCACTCTGCAAGATTCGAGCCTCGCTCCGTCGGACGGCAGGACCCCGTGCCGGTGCCGGTCTCGCCGGTGACGCCCATCAGTCGCAAGCCGACGCCGCAGAGGCCCGTGCCAGAGGCGTGTGGCTCCGAGTTCGGTGTCCGGGAGCGTTCGGTGTGGGTTCGTCCCTGTTGCCGGAGCCCGTCAGACGGTGGGGGATAGCATGGGGCAGGATGTCGATTTCGGCCACCGAACGCAGGACATGCGAAAACGACAGGTCGTGTCCATGCGAAAACACAGGAGGTGGACGAGCCCATACCAGCTGTTGTTCCTCAAGAAGAATCTGAAGATGAAGAAGAGGTGGAGGACTGATTGAAGCGCGTTTAGATGGTGTGGTCACGGAGACGGATGACCTGGATGCCCACAACAAAGCATGAAGCATCTGCGCTTATGCCTAGAGTCTCCTCTGAAACTGGAGTTTGATGGGAAGGTTTCAACCATAGACGGCCTATAATTAGGTTGGTTGATCAATAATGTAGACTCTTGATTAATACACCCCCCATATGGCTGCGGTTATTAATCAAGAGTCTACATTGGAGGGAATACTCCCAAATGTAATCGAAGACTATGTAAACGATATTAAACGATCCCCTCTACATTTCCCCAAGAAGGACATCAGGGTCGTCTGGAAACGTTCTGAAGTCAACGATACGTCCGATCCCGCAGGGTCGTCGATAGCACGTCTCAGGAGCCCACGAAGCCTTTGCCCAAGCCACCACCAACACCACAGACACCAAAGGTCCAGCCGAAGGAGGCGTGGGAAAACCATTGCGCGCGCGCAACGCTGAAGACGTGCAACTGCCCCATAGCTCTGACTCCGTGAGAAGAACGAGCAAACAATGAGAAAGCTGGGTTTGTTGAGTTCAACACCTTGGTTGAGTTCTGGAAAGACCTAATGATACCTGATGTAGGCTGTGGATGAACAAACCCCCCAGTAGTGAAGAGGTGGTTGAATCCATTTTGGGGGGTTTAATTGTCAACTTTGCTAGGTTGCTTCATCCTGCTTCTTTTTGTTCCTTGTCCTCCATCGTTCTGTTCTTTTGCGTTTGTTCCCCTTCCGAAATCACTGCAAGGCTTGCAAGTTTCAACTCACTCATTATGCAATTGCAAAGCAATATATATATATACACTGTATATATACATATCATGCATATTATATATATATATATAGCCACTGGGATTCTGCACTCAGCTTCGGCTTGTGCGATGCAAACACACATGGATATGAGTTCTGAGTCTTATATGAGTCTCTTGTAGCACATGAAAGACCAAACCGTTGGACGCTTCGCGCCGCCGTCAATGTATTCTCGGAAGAAGAGAAGCGGCAAGAACCATGGTTCAAAAAAGGACCACACAGACCCACACAGATCCACAGACCCACAGTTGCGTCATGAACCAGTGTCCACTTTGGACCTCCCAAGCAAACCCCCGTGAACCGACCCTCTGGAAACACTTCACCGGTGGTGGACCGCCGAAAGCAAACAGGTGAAGCGCAAGCAGTCGGAACTGCCAGAGATCGAGCCACCGCCACCGCAGGCAGGTTGACTTGTTGACACGGACTTGTTGACAGAAACACGGACTAGGCCCGGGCATGACCCTCTTCAAACAGTTGACAACCCGCTTTTCCGATGGACCGAAGCATCATTTCTGGGTCGGTCCCATGTCCCAGGTCCGTGAGCTCGTGGTGGAGCCCCGCGGTCTTTTCCGAGTCAAGGCTGGGCAGCGGTCGGATCAGCTGGACCATCTTTTCATGTTGTCTATTGATAATAATATGCATGGACATATATCTCATTCATCAATATGGACCTGGACATCAATATGGACCATCACTTATGATATCAGCATATTATCTATTCATTTGAAATCTATTGTGTGTTTTAGCATGTTTTGCTTGACTCTGTTTGAACATTCAGTTCACAGTCCCTGAGGAGGGGACATTTCTTGGTCATCCTGGATTGCTTTTCCCTTGCCTCAGAGCTTCAAAGGACGGCATCACATGGCCCACGCGGCGCATGAAGATGTGGCCATGACGGTCTGACGGTCTGGGCTCTTTTGAAACGATTTTCTCCCCACCTGTCAGGTGAGGGTTGTTGTTAAATGATTGCTAATGTCATGGTGGAGATCACCCGACATTGGTTTACGCCTTCAAGCCATTATAAATATATACAGTCATATAATGTTTGTTGCATCCTCAGGCGCATCCTCATGATGAACGAAACAAAACGCATCTCAGGAGAAGTCGTCCAAGGAGGTGACACTCTTCGAAGATGACCTGCTCTTCCAGGCCCTTTTTTCGGCCCGAAAGACCCGGCCTATAGGGGCAACGGGGCCCGGAGTGCAGATTTCATTTCATCGACATAGGACTTTGGAGAAGGGCGAGTTCCACCTCATCGTAATATCAAGTCGCGCACATGGCCCAACAATCGGATCCTGTAATATACAAAAACATCAAAAGCCATTTCTTTGACCTATTTGTCCAGTCATAGTAGGACATAGGCCATGGACGGCCATGGATGGCCATAGATGGCCCCATGGCTTTTCCACGACTGGAGGACTCGGAGAAGCCCCAAAGCGCCGATCAGTCGCGGCCGGGCTCACGTGACTTGGCGCTTTGCCGCGTCGCATGGGCGCTTCGCCGCTCTTCGCCGGAAAAGACGAATGGCTCTCTAGGCATCTAGGTAAAGAGAATTCTCTTTGGTGAAGGAAATTCCTTTTTGGATCTCAAGAATCCGAAAGACCAACGGACTCCCTGGGTGCAGATACCGGTCGCATGCTACACTAGGCCGCTAAGTGCTGGCAGAAGCGCCACAGCCTGGGCTGTGCGCCATCCCCACCAGTCATGATGCTAGCATGCTCAACCAGCTGCACAGGCTGCCGGTCGCATGCCTCCGGGTGTCCAACATGCCAAAACTTGTTGCGTAACATGTTTGTTTTGGGCTTGACAAGCGACAAGCATCAGCAGTCAACCTTAAAACCGGTCAGTGGGTGTAGGTTAAAGGAAGAACAGTAAAGGAAGAATCGTAGGCAAAAGATTTGGGAACAAGCTTATTGACATTTTTGTCCAAGATAAGCAGAGGAGCTTTGAGGAGAGAGTTTCATCTCGTTGGGCGGTGTTGTCACCTCTCTTGCTCGGCAACCAAATCGAGGCCGGTGTCTTTCATTTTTTAAAGAAGAGGCCAATGATGCAGACTGCTCATGTATGCTAATGTGCGGAGATTCTTGCTGGAAGAGCCGAGGCCGCCGCTTTAATCTGGCAGAGCAATTCCGAGAGGCCTTGGCTGCCGCGTGGCAACGTGCCTTGCAGTCACTCGAAGAGCCCCGGAGCAGCCCAGCTGAACTGGATCTCTGACTGTGAGTGGTTTTTGTTGGTTTGTTTCTGCCGACATTCTGAAGCGACTCCGATTTGTGGATGTGTTTCTACAAGCTGTTGTTCTCAAAACCGTCTGCGGTCACCGGTGGTCTTTCCTGGCTGTGCCGGGCAGAGCTTGTGAGCCAACACATTTCGACATCTTCTCATGTGACCACAGGAATTTCTGACCTTTGTGACACAAATGCTTAGGCTTTACTGAGCGCATGAAAGAGAAAGATGACAAGGATGAGAGGCTCGAGGCTGAGGCTCAAGAAGCTCGAGAGGAGGTGGGGAGTGCTTTGGATGCGTGTGTAGACCGAACCTGACACCCTATCTATATATCTCGAAGACTGTCCCATCAAGTGCCGTATTTTTATTTTCAAAAGTCACATGGATTGTCTCGCGAGGAAGATGAAGACAGCTCTGACAAGGACCTTTCTTGGACCTGCGCGAGACAGGTTTCTGCGGCTCAGACAAAACAGGGTATGGATGTTCTGAGTATCTAAATCAAACTACCAGGAGTCAGGGGTGCCCATTATGCAGTCACTTAGGGACTAAACACCCCTTTGTGACTCCGGGTACATGGATTTTCTTTGGGTTCAGTCGAATGGACTAGCTGGCTGCTCTTCGAACCTCTTGGTTCCACCAGGTTCGGGTTGGCCTGTGAGCACGTTGCCGAAATGGTTGCCGAGGTCTCCTGTGAGATGGGTGTAGGCAATTTGCAGACGCAGAGACATATCAAGATGTGAGAAGAGAACGTATGGCTCTTGGGTTCCAAGCGTTCAACTAACTGCCCAATGGCCCATTGCTACTCAGTTGACCACTTCTGGGGGCGAGGCCTCGACCGTTCATTGACTTGTATTCCAGAATGTCGGCAAACACGTACACACCGTGCCCTTGTTCGGCACGGACGGCCCGGCACCGTCATGCTTGGACGGCCTCTTTTCACCGCTCTTGGCCCACCGATCTTGGCCCACCGCGTTCGGAACGCCCCAAGCGGGTGACCTCGACCCACGGTGCGGGTGCCGCCCTCGGCGAGGAGCTGATGGAGACCTGGACCTCGCTCTTCTCCGACTGCATCGACTCCGACTCCACGGAGAGACCGGGGAGAGAGCAGACCGCACGGACGGCAGTGTTGACCCGAAGGGTCTTGAGAGATGGTTTTTCTTACCCATGTCCAGTTTGCGCTTGCCCACAGGCTATAATTGTTTCTGTGTTGTTGTTGTTGTTGCTGCTGTTGTTGCCGTTGTTGTTGCCGTTGTTGCTGTTGTGGTAGTTGTTGTCGCGTTGTTGTGTTGTTGTTGCTGCTGCTGTTGTTGCTGTTGCTGCGGTTGTTGCCGTTGTTGTTGTTGTTGTTGTTGTGGTTGTTGTTAATACACAATGTCCCCCATAAGAGGGAAACGGTTTTGGTGGTTTGGAGCCGAGTGCATCTTGGTGGGGCTGAGGCATCCCCCCAAAAGGGGCGGTGTTTGCATTTCGGACTGTCCCGGTCCGAAATGTGGATCGAAGTGTCCATGAAGCTCTATAAAATTAAAGAGCATACCGGGCCAATTGTCAATCAGAATGTCGACCACATTGAGATCTTGCTTCGGAAGGCGCAACTACTGCGCTGTTCTGGCATGGCGGTTCCTTTCTTCCTCTGAGAATGCCCAAGGAATGCTTTTCTTGAACCAGACTTGCTAAGAGGTCAAAAAACATCAAAAAACAACCAACAACATTTGCTAACCTGCACGCACATTTTCGCCGCCAGGAGAGCCTGAGCTTGTCGGAACGTGCCAAGCGCCTCCAACAGCGGCGCTACCGAAAGCGGCTGCTACGGCGCACCCGTGGAAACCAAGCACGAGATCGGACCAGCCGGTGCGGCTCCCAACGGAGGGACCACCCTCGCAGGCAAAGCACCTGCGCAGCGGATGCCTCGCTAGAATGTTGAAGAATGGCCTGAATGATCTTGAATCGACATATTGCAACAAGGGACCCCGAAAAGAATCGAGACAAGACAAGCCTTTGGGTTTTGTATTTTGCATTGTATCCTTCTATTAAGAAAGTTGATAGTGCACTTGGGTTTGTCATGGTTTGTCATTTGTTTGCAAATCATGCCTCAGGTGCTGGACCAATCGAATGGAGGCTGTGACTTCTGCATTTTGTCGACTCGACATGCCCAGTTGATTCCTATTGATTCCTTCAGCAAGTGCAGTGAATCTCGAGTCTCGCTCTACAACTTTGCTCCACTGCGAAGGTCTGTTTGAGGCTTCTGACATCTGTGGATGTCCTAACGGCCAAAGCCCTGACGCCGTGTTAGATTTTGCTTTTCGCTGTGTCGATGACCGCACGGCCCATAGTAGATTTGCTTTTTCTTTTTTCTCGCGGAATTCATCTCATAATTCAGTGCAAGTCAGAGACTGAGTCGAAGATTCAGCTCTTGCTCGAAGCTCTTCCCATTCTTCGCTGCGGAGCGCTCGCGCGACGGGGACAGAGTTCCAAGCTGCTTGATGGAACTACAACGACCACAAAGAGTATCAAAGAACAGTCTTCTAGATGCATAGCGAGGTATGCTGATAGACAAGATTTTGCTCCTCAAGCAGAGAGTTTCACGACATTTCACCACATTTCACCTCTTAGATTTGACTCATCGGTCATCCTCCAATTTGGACGATTTTTGAGCTCTGGACGGGTCCCGTCTGATCTGGGATCGACTGGAGCTACTTTTTGCCGGTGGAATTTCGACTCGGCCTTCGACCGTCCCAAGGACCGAAGCAGTGCGGTGTTCGACCCCAAAAGGAAGCTGCGACTGCGACCGTGCCACACACGCGGGTCAGGAAGGAATTCAAAACTGGGGTACCTTGGTTGACCAGAGCAAATGAACAAAATGGACTACAAAGGAGGTCAACCTACCCTGGTTTGGGGCTCTGGGCTTCGACCTACAGCCACACGTCAAAAACACGATTGATGCGGTGATGCCACTGACACCTGCAATCTTTGTGGCTCCGCAGATAGGACCCTGCAGCAGCTTGCTGATCGGTCTTGACCCACGGACGCCTGGCGTCAGAAAACACCCACCATCGCTGCCGTCCGACATTTTGTCCGTCCGTGGCCAACAGAGTATCTCCGTTCTTCGCCCTATGTCGCTTTGGGTGGATACTCTGCTCTTCGCCCTGGCGGCGGCCTTGGCTCTGGCGGCAGCGGCGGTGCTGCTTCGCCGCTGGGCCCAGCGAGCCCTCAGGGTGGCGGCCAGAGAGTGTGACCAGGACTGCGGTCCTGGTGCAAAGTTGACCATGCGCAAAAGAACGACCCTGATCCACCGAAGAACATTGGAAGACCCGCTACATTGTAAAGTTGTATATATATATATATTTATAGTGACACGCGTTCCCGAAAGAGGTTCTAAGTTCTAAGTGTAACGCTTAGAACAATGGGACAACCTACACTTTCAACACAAAACTTACACTTGGAGCAACACACTTAGAACTATATATATATATATATGGCCCCAATACATTTGTACGTATATATGCACTTGCTGTACCAGGAAGGCTCAGGAAGGTCAACAATTTTCACTCTTGTTAGTCGCAGAAAACTGCGAAGCAGTGAAATCATCCTCCACACTTCAACATCTTACGTGTCCACATGATTCCTCGCTATTTCACACGAATCTGACACGTCATGTTTCCATCCGAAACAGTCTCCAAAAGCTTCCCCAAATGGCAGCGCCTTAGCGTCCTACCGCGAACGGTTGCAAACGGTTGCGAATATAGTGCATTCTGGCTTGCATGGGACTCTATTCAATGCACGGCTGAGCTCACTATGGCTAAAAAGAGTTGTGCCTACGTGCACTGTTCCAAGTGTTTGGCAGGGCAGGTGTGTGTGTGAAAAGTCAGGGGACTTGCTAGCTTTAATGTTCTTCCTTATCATGTTCTAAGTGTGGGCTTTGGAATGTTCTAAGCGCAGCACTAAGAACAAACAATTTCTTGATATTCTGACGCTGCTCTAAGTGCGCTTTCAGCGTTTTGGAACATATTAACACATCACTGTGCTTTTTGCTTGCTATACATGTCTCATTAATGACTGCGTTTCATTGTATATCGCTTGTTCTTGATCTTTCATTGGAGGACCGCAGTTTCGTTTTCGAGAGCTGGTATGGGCAGCTTGCGCCCGTGACTTTCCTCTCACGCAGTGTGGCACTTCAGGTGGAGGACCGCAACATCCAGCAAAAATTGCGAGATGGCAATTAATATCATTAAGACACACATGCAAATAGACCAGGAACACACTCTTGCTTGCAACAAGTTTTTTGACGTTAGCTAAAAACCCAAGGCCACACGAAAAACCTCTGCCTGTTGAGGACATCGAAGCGCTGGCCCGTGCCACAGATGATGCCTTGGCGCTGATTCCCTCGTCCAAGCGTCGGAGCTGCGACGACCAGCGCTTGGAGCGGCTGCGGCGGAAGTTGGACGAGGCCATCGACGAGGTGGGCACGAGCGCCTTTGTGCGGCTGAACTATCTCTCGCCGAAGGACTGAAGGAGCAAACCAGTCAACGACTGGACCTCAAGCGTCGGTTCCAGAGAGTGGGCACAACTGAAGTCAGAGCTTTTGGAGATCTTTTGGGAAAGGAGTGGTGTTTTGAGTCAGAGGAGAACTAGAAATGCCTGACTAAACTCTTGTAGGACAATGGCTCG